AGTCAGGAGGGATATTCAACATACTGTACAAGATCTCTTAACTAGAAACTATAGGTTTCTACATTTTTTTCGTTTCAAAAACATGGAGATGAAAGTTTGACCAAATCAATAGCAAAACTTAGTTAAGTTTAAGTCTGGAGATTAAAACAAAAAAAAAATCCCAAGCTTATTATCTTACAATTATGTTTTGTCGACTTTTTATCTTTTTATGACGTAGTGTATTTTTTTTTTTTCCAACTCTATTTGGTCAATAAATGTCTGTTGTTCTGCATTTTTATTTCCAGCATCTTTTCTTTTTTTTCTTTTTTAAGATAAGGAGTGAGCTVGCTTTCTCCCACAGCCTTGAAGCTGTGGTATGCGTGGCACACGGCTCCCAGTCTCCGACTCCACCGAGCATAGGATACAAACTGTCAATTGTTCAGAATGTGCAGGGCGTCCCCGTAATCCATTAGTTTCATAAAAAAAATGTAACAAATGGTAACCGTCCCGTGATTCTGTTCTATTTGTTCTCCAAGTTTCCCAAGTTTAAGTTCACCCCAGGCTGCAAATATTTTTGTTATTTTCAATAATTATACATGTATATTTTACCTACAGCTACTCAATTTGTCTTTTATAGCATTATAGTTTTTATTGCATTCTTAATATTTTAATCATATTATTATTGATGTCTAACAATACACCGTTCTCTACTGAGGCTGCTTGTTGCCCCATCAACACCCTGCTCTCATGCAGACATTCCCCTTTGACATCACTACATATTACCTCACAGACAAAATATCTCAACAACAGTTTATCACAGCGATATAAAATTTATGTTGCAATATTTGATCAATTTCTTCTTTCTATAAATGCATTAATATGTTTATAATTTTTTGTTTAACATGCCAGGTACTTTAATGGCAAAATGTCTATAGTTTTCTGAGAAGGGAGAATTTTCTCATCCTCCCCCACTGTTTTTTTTTTCTTCTCTTCAACTGCTGTTTTATCTAGAAAATATTTGGAAAACTCTCAGGGGGTTCAAACTAACTAAATAAAAAAACTGAATGCTGTTTTAAGAAGTTAWAGACATCTTTATATGCACAATTTAAATCTTTTTCCCACTACCTTCACCTATTTTCCTTTTCTCTGAAATAATTATACTTTATTTTTAACTAAAAACTGTTCTTATCTATTTTTATTTTAAGCTCATTTTATTTTAAGAGGATTATGGCCTTAATGGCTCTCTGTAAGTTCTTTTGGCAGCGAGGCTGCTGCTTGCTGCTTATCTCTGATGGAATGCAGACTGCAGTTCCAGCCAGTGAGAGAGAAACAGAAAGAGTTTTGCTTTACTTGTTAACAGTATAACTCCCTAAACAATTGGAAAATCTTAATGAAACTTTCAGAAAGTTATTAGTATATTAAAATCTTGAATTGATTAACTTTTGTGGTTTTTATCACTTAAAGGTAGTGATAAACGGTGGGCTACAACTTTCAGGCTTCCACTAAAAGACATCACTTGATTTAGTCTCAAATGCTTTCTGATCTTATAGACAAGGTTCTTTAAGTATTGATTTAGAGATTACACGGATTATTTTAACATTTTAGTTAATGATTTGAATACAAAGTTACTGCGTTGTGATTTATTAATATATGCGTGCTTATTTCCAGCAAAAGGTGTCTAAAAGACCTCTATTTTTCGTCTGGAAGACAGGCTTCTAGAGCAGGACTTTTGTACTACTCCGGTCTTCCACTTAAGCCTAAAGCTGAGAAAAACAGAGTTTTTACCTCCGCTGGTTTTAGCACTTTAAAGCCTAATAAGAGATTATCTGAGTTGAATCAGCATTCCTTTGTTCTGGAATGTCGACGCAACTCAGGCCTCTTCAATCAAACACAAGCATTCAAACACACACACACACACACACACACTCGCTTAACTCTTTTACAACAACTCTTTATCTCTTGACACGGCCCRCCGGCTTCTTACAGTCAAAGATATCTTTTCAGTTCGGCCCACTGGCACTTAAAACCACAACAACAAAAATATGTATTTTTACTTTTACCACACTTGGTACACTGACCGGTCAACACAATAAACTCTAGCGCTTTTCTTTTCTCCTCATTCACTCAAAAGTGAAACTATACTTACTAAAAGTCTCTGATGTCTGCTCAGTGTGGATACTGGGTCACCACCACTGGCAGGATGAGAAGACCTATCTACGCCGGCCCGTAGAGAAATGACGTCTCTCGGGTCTTTCAGGTTTGCGCGCTGGTTCGGCGTGTCCGCTCTGCCGGCCAGTGGAGGTCGTCCAGAATCCGGGTCGCAGGCACCAGAATGTCTGGTATTTTTAACCTGTTACTCAAAACACACAACAACCCACCAGACATTAAATGAGACACCAGAGACCCAAGACAGTTTAAAGATACGCTCTGCAGAGGGAGAAGTCCTGTGTACTTAACTCAGTTGAAGTCAAGCCCAGAGAAGTTCTGCCTCTTTGCGGTCGTGATCCACTTTTATTGACACATAGAAATTACATCACATCAAGTCAACCAATGATCGTATAGTAGTCACATCGTACCATAATACAAAAACCACTCATAGTAGTTGCTATGTCATGTCATAAACATAGAGACAAATCAGAAACTGGTTGCTGGGGCTCGTACAACAGAAAGACATTTTTACCTTGTTAGTCATAACATTTTTTGCATATCTTTACTGGGACCTTCTGTGGTCAGACCGTTTGTCTAACCTTGTCCTTCTRGTTCTGCTTTGCAAGCTGTTTYGTCCTGCTCGCACACTATGTGCTTYTGTGGRTGCCATCAAGTTTAAAGCACTGGTCACGTACTGAAACTAACTTTATTTGGAACATAAAGACATCTATAAAACATATAAAACCTTATAAAAACCTTTTCAGTATGTGACAGATCAACACAAAGAAAAATATGAAAGGTGTGGTGTGTATACATTCTGCCTCCTCTGATATCCCTAACTAAAACCCACTGCCTTCAGAAGTCACCGAAGTGTTTCAGTATACGTTCAGTTCTGTGAAGGTCTCAGAGGACCTTAATGCTCAAGCAGCATCATGAAGACCAACGAACACACCAGAAAGGACACTGCCATCACTAATATGCGCCTTCATATAAATACATTTATTTACTTCTACTATGTACTAGGTATATGTTCATTGTTATATATTACAAGGATAGTGTTGTTTGTTTTTCTTTTTTTTCTTTTACTTATCTTTCTTTTTCTATCTTACCCTCTTACCTCCTGTTAAAAACAAATCAGTACTGTCTATTTATAAAATGTAAGTGAGGTGTAAGTTAGCTTTTCCTGAAAAGCTAAAAATATTGTAGCGTGTTCAGAGTTAGATTGTTCCAGTATCATTTCTAGAGTTGTACAGAGGAAGGGGACTGGGTGGAGTGCATAAAAAGAGAGAGTGTCTTTTTTTGGCTTGTTTGGTTGCTCTCTGTACTGCGTGGCTGTGGCCTTAGGGGTGTAAGAAAATATCGATACACTGAAATATCGCGATATTTCATTTCCCGATACTGTATCGATATTCTAAAGCCCTGTATCAATTTTTTATTAAGGTTTAAAATGTCAACTTTCCTGCCAGCCATTCATTTTTGTGTTGTAGTTCAGCCTCTGACCACTACTTAGCAGCAGTGAGCCAGCCATTTGGCTCCTCTACCTCTTGAGCGCCAGAGAGTAAGGGTAGCATTAGCATTGTGAGTAAACATTAGCTTCATGCTCCGATAGCTGAATCTGAGCAGAAAAGACCGACACCCTCTGCCTTCTAAGCTGAGGTAAGGTTACAAACAGTTACTTATTTGTCAGAATGTCAGTATTTTAAGCCAAATTAAGTGTTTTGTGTGCTCTTTTTTCCAGCTGTAGTCAGCTTTCACGTTATGCATATAGCGCATGCGTCTATCACCTCGAGCTAGCTCGGCACTCCCCCCGTGACATAAAACTCTGTCTGTTGGTCTCGATGTCCGGCTGATCGCATCAAAGTCCATATACTTTAAGTTTATCCAGCTGGATCGCTTCAAAAACAGTTTAACTCGTTTAGCTTCTCAATTTCTTAACTGGTTTTCTTTGGGACCTGCCCTGCTGTTCGACCCACAGTTATATAAAATCATGTTCTGGATGCAGGTCAGCTGCTCCCAGAAACTCTGTGTGCAGCAGCTTCATATCATCTGTTTAATGAACTTTATGACAACATAAAGGCTATTGTTAAGTGTTGGGTGACCATATTGTAAATTAATATTAAAAACGAAAAGCTGCAAAAAATATATTTTCAAACTATTTATTGGCAAATTTAGTCTAATAATTGAAAACATGGATGAAATATGAAACAAATAAAATAAAATACATACAAAGCAGAACACAGCTAAATGTATCAAAAGTATGTCTATGTAATATTAGAATTTTCTGAGTCAATGAATTCTGTTTTTTTTTTTTATGTTTTTTATTTATTTATTTATTTATTTTGTCCAGTAAGAGGTTTTTATTTAATAGAATTTTTGGACCAAAAAGATCACAGTATATTGCCTTGTTTACAGTATCAAAATATACCGGGATATATCGTATCGTGACCCCCTCTGTCATGATATTTATTGTATAACCAAATTATTGCCAATACACAGCCCTATGTGGCCTACAGCAGCTCCTGACTAAAAGTTGTTCTTGAGTTTATCAAAGACTCATCCTTGACCTAAATCTCCACGCACAAACGTAGAAGTGTTACAGTGGTGTCAGAAGTTAACTTACTGAACCTGGACACCTGTACTAGTGCAGCCTTACCTGAAGCATATGGACACCATGGAATCTTCGGTGCGCATCAAGATTGAAGAGGATGGAATAGAGACTGTGCAGTGGTCGTGGGTCCAGAGCAGCGGAGCTACGGTGAACACGGAACCAGGTCACGCAGATCCGGTCCGGACTGCGGTGGAGGGTCTGTCTGTCGCTCCTTCGGAAGCCTCACGTCGCAACGCCATTGAGGTAAACAAAGATGGCGCCGCCCATGGACTGAGCAGACCATGCGGAATAAAAACACCCAAATATGACGGAAAATCGGACTGGGAAGCTTTCAGGGCTCGGTTCGAAATACTGGCGGCTGCCAACGKCTGGTCGAGGGATCAAAGAGCTCTGCAACTCGCCATGTGCCTGACGGGGGATGCGCTGTCTTGTCTGCTGTTGCTGGATCCTACTGAGAGGGGCGACTATGACACGCTAACGAGTGCGCTGCAGTGGCGGTTCAGCCAATATTTCCGACCTGAGCACTTACGTTTGGAACTGAGTGGACGAAAGAGACGGGGAGGGGAATCTCTACGAACATTGGCAAACGACATAGAGAGCCTGACAAGGAAAGCTTATGCTCACATCCGCCTTATGTGCTAACGGAACTAGCAAGGGATCAGTTTGTGTGGGCATTGTCCCCTCCCGAACTACGCGCGCCCACGCACACAGAGGAGGTGATGCCAAGAACCAGGTCTGTGACTGAAAATGAATTGGCAGCAGAGAGGCCTGTGTAGCGGCAATTTGGGTAAATTCTAAAGTTGATAATTTATGAATTATTTAAATCAATAAATTATCTTACCTCGAGGCACCACTTCCCTTTTATTTTGTTATTATTACACAGGAAAGAGAAGAAAAACTGTAACTTAACTGTAATCATTCAGTCTCTATTAATTTATTACCCAAATTAATAATGAGTTCTTTTCTTAGAAGAATCAATAATACCTTATCAAGACACAGAAAAATAGAAGTCTCACGTTGACCAGTTCTCCATTGGTCATTTATTCACAGATTAAATGTATCTACAGCTATGGCAAGTATGAAATGATGACATTCTGAACCAGAAGAATACGGAGATATTTGAGCAATGAGTGAATAACAAACAAATAAACAAACAACAAAATAAACATTAAAAGGGGTTTTGAGGCTGGAGTGAGGTGAGGGGAGTTTGCTTTAGCTAAGAATTTAACTAAGGGATCCTTGTTAAATGAGGGAGAGAAATCGTTTAGATTATCAAATCTCATTCAAAGATAAGAAACCAAATTAAGCCTGAGCACCTGTTTGTCACCAGAACAAATGTTCACTTTTACCCTTTTGTTTCCGCCATGTGGGTACCAGGAGGGAAGTCAGTGACTGAAGGTCATCTCTGGGGGGTTGTTTCCCAGGTAGGCTGTTCATACAAGCTGGATGACAGGCGGTTTGCCTGTAAACTCGACTGGTCCCGGTGGTCAGAGAACAGTAATTCTCTGGTGAGGACGTAGTCCGGTCTCCTTCGGCTGCTGCAAGGCTTGGTAATTTGATCTCAACTTCGTAGAGAAAAATGGACTAAAAACGACGCATGAATTAAAATTAGCTTATTGACTTCTATTAAAATGAAGCTCAGATGTTGAGCCGACGAGGTACAGTGGTGCTGCGTTCAGATCAGCAGGAAATGCAGAGCCCGGGTCCTGGTCAGCCATTGGGAGGGGCTGTCAGGGTCGGTCTCTGCTGAAGCTTCTGAAATCTTTTGCTGCTGATATTCAAATCTTCCAATTCTTACTCTGACTAATTTGGGAGTGCGCTCACTTTTTAAAAACCTTTGTTTGGGCGGAGTTAAGTTGTTAGTTGGCCATTAAAAATGTTACACCTCATACAGGAAAAAGGTCTCAGTGAGTCAAATCTATTGGAGGTAAATTTTACTTTGAAAACAAAGACAAGGGTGTGTTCTAGTTTATCTTACATTTACCTAAAAAGGGAACAGGAGACATCTGGGTTTTGCCTCAGGGATAAAATTGTCACAGTTAAAGTGTATCTTACCCCC